CTGTCCTCCCCGGCTGGTGCCCGTCCCAGGTGTGCTGGCTGCAGGGTACATAGATGTGTGCCCTGTCTCTGGGAGCTACCCTGTCCGTGCTGTGAAATCTGTCCGCTTTATGGGGTGGTTCAGAAAACTAAATCAGAGAACAGCGCCTGGCACATAGTAGGTCTCAGGAAACATTAGCTCTCTTTCCTCTTTCTCTGCCTCGCCAACCAGTAGAAACCCCTTCGTTTCCTAAAAAATGGGAACTTTTGGGAAGGTGACAGTAACTTCAGACCAAAAAGCCACGTATTGGCCAGCATTGGAATGTTGGGGGGGTGGTGGGAGCAAATTGCCTGTTTTATGTGAGGCTAGACAGACTTAAAGTATGTATGTTTGGGAAGGTGTTAACAATCTGCATCAAGGGAGTATCTCATTGATAACTGGTCCCGTACAGAAGGCCAAAGTGTGGAACTGAGAGGCTTGTGTCCAGGTGTCACTGTGTGCGTGGGATGGAGTGCGCATGCGCACACGCGTGTAAACATGCGCACCTTGCCACGGAACCGTGAGCTAGGGCCCGAAGCATCCCTCTGATTCTCCTGGACGGCTGGTTGAAGCATGATCGCTGGGCCTGCTCTGGAATTTCAGGTCTGCTGGGTCTGGGCAGGGCCTGAGAATTTGCATTTCTCCCACGTTCCCAGTTGAAGCTGATGCGTTTCTGGTCTCTGGACCACACTTTGAGAACCGCTGATCTATAGGAAGCCCACGTGTCCCACCCAGTCCAGATGATTTCTGCTTACGAGGGTCGGTTTTCACACAGATGCCTGCCTTTGCAGGAGCCCATCTGCCGTTCAGACGCGGCTTCTGGACCTAACCAGTAAGGATACAGGAGACCCAGTAAAATTTGGTTAATACAAGTATGTTCCAAGTACGGCATGGGAAATACTTACACTAAAGGAGCGCATTAGTGCTTATCTGAAATTCAAATTAAATGGATGTCCTGTATTTGATCTGGCAACTGTTTAGTCAAATTGGGGGTCAAGTGTCTCTGCCTGTCCTGCTGCTTTCCTGTGATTGAATAGGCTACAGCTGCTGAGGAAACAAGGGCTAGAAGGGTTTGTGTTTTTGGACAGACCCCTGCTGCCCTGAGCTCATTTGGCCATTTTCACGTGATCTCGGCGAGATGGACTTGGCTTGTGTTTGCACCGGTTTTCTGGCTGGCCCTCTGTTTCTCTCTCTCTTTCCTTTTTTTTTTGGTGTGTGTGTGTGTCCCTCTGTCCCGTGCCTCCTTCTGTGCCATCTCTCTCCTATGGAGGCTCTTAAAGGAGGAAATCTACGAAGCGATGGGTCTGATCCAGGAATGTCTGTCCTGGCAGTGAGAGCAGGATTCAAGACAGGTGGCCTTAGGGCATCTGCAGGGAAGAGAGGCACCTGGCCCAGAGGTGGCACGGGGTCCCCAGCGGGCTCGCCGCACAATGCATAGAGGGTAACGTTGGCCTTGGAGACTGCGCCTGCCAGGGCTGGCCTGGGAGTGGTCCCACGGCTGGGCGGGTATGTGTCATGGTTGGAGTCGGGCGAGTCACAGGCAGGATGCACACAGAGGGCTCTGGCCGCCGTGGACGTCAGCATGTCTTGAGGGGTGGAGAGGACCTGAGCTATCAGAGGCCTCTGGGAGGCTTGGATGGGACATCCTCCTAAACGGCTCCATTTGTCACTCTCGCCTGCCAAGGCTGCCGTGACACTGAGAATGGAGGAATGGAAGAACAGAAGGCTGAGCGGCTTCCCCTCCCGTCCCCCCAGGCGTCTGCTGGTCTTGGGCATCCTCCTCCGCTGCCTGTGCTCTGAACAGAGCGGCAGGCCTGCGCGCAAGCAAGTAGGCCACGGCCTCGAAGGGGCAAGCCGGCCCTGCCCTGCTTGTCCCCATGCCCCTCCCCCTGGGTCCTCAGCGTGGCATGGAAAGTGTTGTCAGGTAGGAAGGACATTATCCCTCTGGGGTACTGCAGGGCGGCTCTGGAGCCTGGTGGCGAGGGAGGGGTGAGGGGGCTCTCTCCCTGATGTGGTCACGTGGCTTACCTGGGACCCAGATCTGCCTTGGCAGGGAGAGCAGGTATTTTTTTCTTCTCTCAGACACGGGGGACAGCTGTCCCGTTGGTACTTGCCAGGGGCAGGCCAGTGCTGGGGACGAGACGCGTAGGTAGGAGGGAGGATAGGCGTGTGGAGGCCCCTTCCTTGTGCCCACCCCTCTCGTGCCTCCCGGGAGGGAGGCAAGCAGGCAGGCACGGCTCACCCCATTCAGTAACTGGGGACACGGGAGTACAGGTCACACCATAGGCAAGGGCAGGACAGAGCACGGCTTTGGGACAGACCCTCCTCCGGCAGCAGCTGGGTTGCCCTCCCCTCCCCACAGAGGGCCCCACTGTGGGTGGGGACCCTTCCGCCTCTGCCCCCGGCTTGCTTCCTTTACAACTTCCTCTCTTCCTGATCAGGCGCTGCTCCTCTTTGTGGGCCATGAGAGCCTCCCTGTTTATTCTTTTGTTCCTCCCGCCGGGGGGTCCTGGTGACATTTTGAGAGGCCTCGTGGATGGTGAGGCCAGGCAGGGTCCCCAGAGTTCCCAGGGGCAGTGACCGCAGTGCTGGCTCTGCAGAAGGGATGCGAGGTCGGTGTGCCGGGCGGACGTGGGGCCGCCCGGAGGCTTGCGCACCCGCCGGTGCGGTGCTTCGCGGGCGGCGTGCTCCCCAGGGCCCTGGCCTGGCGGCGCTCTGCCCTGTCCGTTGCTGGGAATCCTTCCTTACGCTGCAGGGACATGCGTGCCATTCCCATCCTCAGGCTCTCGGTCACGTGGCAGGGCCCAGTACACGGTCGGAGAAAGGGTGAGCGGACATCTACCACCTCATCCAGACCCAAGGGGTTTAGATGAAGAAATCAGTGGAGTCTCCCCTCTGGGGACGCTGGAGAGACCAAACAGGGCAACGGCAGTTAAGTGTCTATGCAACGAAGTGTGGAATTGCCTGGTGCAGACGCCGCCTGTAGCGGGAATACAGAGGTGGGAGAAATCCACGCAGGCGGTGGTCCGTCGGGGGGCGCTCCGCAGCGCAGGGCGGCAGGCGGGCCTGGGGGAGGCCACAGGAGCGAGCGGGCCTTGCCTGTGATCGACGCCGTTGGGACTGAGCCTGCGTTTTGGCTCGGAGGTGGTGTTGGGACGCCTCCTCGGCAGCAGCAGGCGGGCGCGTCGCACTCCGCGGTCACCCAGCCCCCACGCCTTGCAGGAGCTCCATCGGGCTCGAGGCTGCCCGCCTGCGGTGCCCTCAGTGCTGGGGCCTTTGGGAGGGAGACGCTTGGCCAGCACCAGCAATGTGGCCTTTGAAGGCGCTGCGTGAGTTTCCTGTGGCTGCTGTAACAATGTGCCACCAACTGGGGGGCTTAAAACAGAGAGGTGTGTTCCCTCACAGCCCCGGAGGCCCGAGGTCTGACATCAGGTGTCCCCAGGGCCAGGCCCCCGGGGGAGGCTCGCAGGGAGAGCCCGCCCACGCCTTCTCTCGGCTTCGGGGCTGCCGGAAGTCCTTGGCGGCCGGAGCTGCAGGCGCACGTCTCCAGCCTCTGCCTCCGTCTCCTGTGCTGGGGGCCTGTGTCCCTTCCTCCCTTCTTACAAGAACAGTCGTTGGACTGAGAGCCCACCCTGCTTTGTTACTACTTCGTCTCGGTTATGTCTGCAAAGAAATTATTTCTTAGTAGGGTCACAGTCACAGGCATCGGGGATTAGGATGACAACCTGTCTTTTTTGGGTGACACAATTCAACCCACAACAGGTGCTTAAGAGATTGTGTTTGCCTCCAGATCCCCTGAACCCGATGACACCTCTGTCCCTCTCAGGTCTCCGAAGGCCTGGGGGTGGTGGGCCGAGGCCGCCCCCTCTCACCCTCTCATTGCACCCGGCCTTGCTCGCTGGGCTGTGGAGTGGGACCCCCGGGCGCTGGGCTCCCCATTCAAGGTGAAATCCTGTCGGGGCTGGAGCTTGGCTGGAAAAGCTGCTTTTCCCTGTTCTGGGGCTGGGTGGTGAGGTGCTAGAGGGTGTGTGTGTGTGTACGGGCGGGAGGGAGGGTGGAGATACTGCAGATCCCTTTTCCTGGGAAAGACAAAATATGGTTAGAGCGCTGCAGAATGCTGGCTCTGGAAGGACCTTCAGGGCTTTGGCTCTGGAGCAGTGGGACCTGCTGGGAGGGGCACCGCCTTGTGCTGGAGGGCTGGGACGCCGTCCTGGCTCCCCTGCCCTGCCGCTGGGGACCCTGGGCATGTCATTTAGCTTCTCTGAGGCTCGGCTTCCTCCTCCGTAATGTGGGACAGTCGTAACAATGGCTTGCCAGGCCTCACAGAGCGTTTGTGAGGATTCAGTGATAAAAGGTGGCTGTGTGCACACAGTTAAGAGAGTGTCACCAGTGCTGACAGCGAGGCACGGGAGATGGCAGGTTACGGTGGCAGGGGAAGCAAAGGCTGGTGGGATCCGGGAGCTGGTGGTTTGGGGTAGGGCAGGCTTTGTCCTGGTTTGATGAAGAACAGATGGGTCGTGAACACCCTCGGGGTGTCTCGCCGCCGGGCACTCTCGTGCCTCTGGGCGGGCTCCGTGGACCTCCGCTGCACTAGGACGGGCTTGCGTACCGCCCTGCAGGTGGGACAGTGGTGTGTGGAAGGACCGGGCGGGCCACAAGGAGCGCTGCCAAGCCGGAAGCGGCGCCCAGCTTTCCTTCCTGGGTCCTGAGCGCTTTTGGCAAACCCACTGCGCTTCTCTGTTCCTCGGACTGAGCGACCCACCCAGTGTAGGCCGTGCCTGGGCCGGGTGCCCGGCTCTCCGGGAGCTCTGTCCCCTGGGAGTGCCCAGCCTGAGCCCCCGCGGCGTGGCGCCCTGTGCTCCTCCTCTCCCTCGCCTCCTCCACCCCAGGAAGCTGGGGGAGGAGCCCTGTGTTGCAGAGGAGCCTGGATGGCAGCCACACTAATCCGTCCGTCCTCTCCCTGGGTCTCCTCCCAACACCAGGTCCCGGCTGGCGGACTTCCATACCAACTGTCGTGCCTCCTACCAGACACTCACCAGCTGCCCTGCCGACAACTACCAGGCGTGTCTGGGCGCCTATGCTGGCATGATCGGTAAGCCACCCCCTGCATGCCCGGGCTCACAGCGACGCCTGGCTGCCCGTCTCGGTGGGCGGGGCCGAGGCCCAGCCCCGGCCAGTGGGTGGGCAGCCTGAGCTCACTCGCCTTTGTCTGTGGCAGATTCAGATGGAGCTGCCTGGAGCTGAGGGTGGCTCTTCATCACGGGGGAGGGAGCAGGGACCTTGTAAGGCTTTCAAAATAAGAACAAGTAACGATTGCAGGTGCTGCGCTAAGCAGTTCACATGACTGTCTAATTCCCATAACAGCACTTGCTAGGGAGGTGTTGGGATGTCTGTTTTACAGACAGGGAAACTGAGGCTTAGAGAAACGGAGTCACTGGCACAGGTTGGTCCAGCTTGTAAGTGTTGGCACTGGGTCCAAGTCCAGGACGTGAGCCTCGGCACATTCCTCCAGAACACACTGCTTGGTGGCCCAGGAGAAAGCAGGGGCCGAGCTCTGGGAGGGGCGGCTGGGTGTCTCGTCAGCCACCCAGGCCTTTCCTGTGTGCCAATGCCCTCTGCTGACCCCCGTGGTTGCCTGGAATAGTGATCCTCAGAGTTTGGGTTGTGAGTTGGGACGTACGTGTGTTTGGGGGCAGGTGGGAGGGAGGGAGGGTCCCTAAGCCGCTCGTCTGTGGTGCCTGGGATCTGGAGACCCAATGAGAAGGTCTCACTGCTCCCCTCTTCTTTGCCCCCTTTCTCCCTGCCCAGGGTTTGACATGACGCCCAACTATGTGGACTCCAGCCCCACGGGCATCGTGGTGTCCCCCTGGTGCAGCTGTCGTGGGAGTGGGAACATGGAGGAGGAGTGTGAGAAGTTCCTCAGGGACTTCACCGAGAACACCTGCCTCCGTAAGTGCTGCAGCGCCGCCGTCCCCGAGGTGCCCCGGAGGCTGCCGGAGCTGTTCCCGTCTTCTGCCCTGGGACCGCCGGTGATCTGGGTGTTGCCTCTGGAGACCTCGGTTCGAGCTCTGGGAGGGTCACACCAGAGCCATTGGTGGGCCAGCCTCAGTTTACCACGGGAGGCCTTGTGCCTGTGTCAAGTCAGGGTTGAAGTTTTCCAGTTTGTTATGGTGGCAACTGCAGACGGGTTCCTGTGGGGACAGCCTTGTGGTGAGGATCTCGCTGTCTGTCACTTCTCCCTTTAAGGACCTGTATTTAAGGGCCCCATGGGAATCAGTGACTTCCCCCCGCCCCGCAACTCACCAAACTTCCAATCCAAAGGCTGGAGAGCAAGGTGAGCCGCAGGCTCTGTCTGCCTCCGTCTTTTCAGACCAACCCCTTCGCTATGCACGCCCGCTTCCCTTCCCTTCGTCCACTGGGAACCCCGGGGAAGGCAGTTAGGGAAGGGATGCGAGTGATGCCCAGCGCAGGCGGAGGCAGGATGAGTTGGAGGACACGGAGGTGGAAGTTTCTTCAGGCCTTTGGTGACAGGGCCAAGTCTTGGGGACCGAGTTTTGTCCAGGAGGCTCCATTCATGCCATCCTCAGTGAATTGGTGCTAATTAACGGTGTGGGAGCCGGTGAGGCCCCCAGGGAGGAGGGCTGCCTCTGGGGCGCTGGGGTGCCCGCGGTGGGGACCCAGCAGCAGCTGAGGTGGCGAAGGAGCCAGGAGAACCTCGGCCTGGGGCTGGCGGTGGCGGGGCTTCTGGAGGGGGTGTGGTCGCAGCCCGGGAGGCCACTGAGAGGGGTGCTCGCTGCCCTGGGTGGGCGCGGCCCGTTCCTCCCGCCAGGCTTCCCACGGCCCCAGCCCCCTCCTCTCCTCATCGCCTACATTTCCTTCTATTCCAATCTCTTGTCTTTTTTAATCTCCCTCTTGCCATTTTCTTCTGACACATGAGACCCTATATCTGAAGGGGAGCCTCAGCACAGCTAAGTCTGGACAGCTACACTCTGTCCCGGCAGGGAACTTAGGGCTGAGGCGGTGAGGGCAGAAGTGACAGAGGTGGCCCCTGATTTCTCTGCACCTCCCTGCTCTCTCCCTCCGCAGGGAACGCCATCCAGGCCTTTGGCAATGGCACAGATGTGAACCTGTCCCCTAAAAATCCCTCGTTCCCGGCCACGCAGGCCCCGAGGGTGGAGAAGACGCCTTCTTTGCCCGATGATCTCAGTGATAGCACCAGCTTGGGGACCAGCATCATCACCACCTGCACATCGGTCCAGGTGAGGGGACGTGGCTTCGCGGCTGGGGAATGAGCCAGGGCAGGCTGAGGGCCCAGGGAAGCACCATGATGTCGAGGCGGGTATGGGAAGTGAGCAAGCGGGGGTGCGCAGGGCCCTTCCTTTGGTCAGGGACCCAAGAGGCAGGGAGGAGCTGGCGCGGGCTAGTTTCCCACGTATTCACCCTGAGGCATTCACCGTGGAAGGGTCTGGCTCCTGCTCGGTGACAGGCTTGTACCAGGTGGCATGGGGCACAGGAGGAATGGAGTGGTCACTGTGAATGAGGCGTCGGCTGCTTCCCGAGTGTGTGCCAGTGGACTCGCCCTGCTTCATCAGATTCCCTCACAGTGAGGTGCTGGCGTTCTCACTTGACACACGGGAACGGGCCCAGGAGGCTCAGGCAACCCGCCCAGCCGTCCCAGCTAGTTAGAGGCGGATTTCGCCTGCATCTGACCCCGAGACCCATGCTGACCATTTCTTGGTCCATCTGTCCGACGAGTGTTACGCACGCGGTGTGTGCCAGCCTTCGCGTGAGAGGCTGGGGAGAGGCTGATGGATGAGCTGGACACAGGCCGGGGTTTTCTGGTCCTAGCGGTGGTGTCCAAGGTCGGACAGTTGAACAAGCGTGAGGCAGGGACGGCGGTGAGGGCCACGACAGGGACACAGGTGGCCTGTGGAGGCCCATCGTAGGGCTCCCCTCAGGCTCTCCCCCTGCCGGCCTGCCCTCCCGCCTCCCGCGGGAGCTACCGTGCCTACTTGGCTCAGGAGGCTGGTGCCAGTCAGAGCACACACACTCGATGACATATACACTCTCTCCATGACACGCACACTCAGTGACACACTCACATGCACTCAGCCCTCCTGTCGCGCACAAAGTCTGTGACACGCACACTCATTGACGCACAGGCATATACACTCATGCCCACTCCCGTGCGCACCTGGAACAAAGAGTTTAACCTGGGACCGAGTGCAATCTTCCAGGGAGAGCAGCAGAGGGAGGGACAGCGCAGCGGGCAGTGGCAGGGCACACGGGGCTATTCCAGGCAGGAGTAGGGACGGGACTGTCCAAGAAGGTGGGGGGCAGGGTTTGGGGGCGCAGCCGGAGCATAGGTGTGGGAGGCAAGGGGAACCAGGCCGGACCGTGTGTCAGGCAGCGAAGACACCCGTCTGAACGGGGCTTGGGCCTGTGGGATCACCTGTGGGCCACGGTGCTTCAGTCTCGCACGGTGAGTAAGTTGGGGAGAACTGGGGCACAGCATGTGACTGCAGGTGACAGTGCTGCCCCGCTCTGTGCTTGAAATGTGCTGAGAGAGACGACCGTGGACCTCCATTGCTCTCGCCACACGTACACCTGCACCTACACACACGCGCGGAAAATAGTAAAGGTGCGACGCAGCGGATGGGCCGGTTGGCTTGTGGGGAGGGTTTCACCGCGCACACGCACATCGGTCAGACCGTTAGGCTGTGCAGCTAAAACACGGGGTGGGCAAAAGTAGGCTTACAGTTGGGAGGCCAAGAAACCGTTTGTTCTTGTGTCATTTATCAATTACGGTAGTATTTTTCATACGAACAGTTGTAAACCTATTTTTGCCCCACCCCGTGCACAGCTATCGGTGGGCAGCTAGAACCTTGATCGAACTGGAAGGAACCCCGTGTCAGGAAGAGGACTGAGCAGGGACAGGCCTGGCAGGGGTGTTCGGTTCCCTGGGCACGTGCTGCGCCGCCGGCCGGGTGCTTGGTGCCGTGTGGGGGGGCGGGTACCCCTCCTGCCCGCTGGGCGCCCCCCGCCCCGTGCGCTCACAGCTGATCTCCGCGTGCGCTCACGTCAGACTCAGCGGGCCCTTCTGTGTCCTGCCGCCCCTGTTGCTCCTCCTGATGGGGGCGGAGGTGCCCTGCCGCCCTTGGGCAGCTCCTAATTACACGGCGCACGCTTGAGCGGTGGCTGGCGGGGCTCGGAGGCCTGCCGCACACAGTCCCCAGCTCAATTTCACGCTAGAGTGGCGGGCAGCTCGGCTGGCCAGGGCCGTGCCGCCTGTCGGGAGACCTTGCTGCGGTGCGGCCGCGGGTCCCTCCGACACCGCCCACCCCCGTGGCGGCCTTCCTCCCTGGCCTATGGGGGCGGCTTGCCCACGGAGATGCCGCCTCCGCAGGCGGCGCTCACAGCGACCCGCTGAGGGTGTGGAGAGGTCAGGGCCATGCCTGCGGTCCCCTGCAGCCCCCTCAGTGCCTGAGGGCTCCGACTCCTTCCTCCTCATTTTTACCTTAGAAGTTTGCTCAGTCGTTGCCCGGCTTCCCCTCATCCCAGCCTGGTTTTCTGCAGCCTCCCCGTCTGGGGGCCTGTCGGACCTGTGGTTTGATTCCCGTGGGGTTCATGCCTGGTCCGTCTGCGAGGTGATGGATGTGACGGTGCCTGGTGACTGAGCAACACGATAGTTGGGGTCAAGAGTCCCGGGGGCTGGTCTGGGGAGACTGCCTGGCGAGGGCTCCCCGAGGCGTGGCCCCTGCGACCCTCCACTCGGGGTCTGTGGATCCTGTGCCCCTGGGCAGGACAGCTGGGGACAGCCATCCCAGGAGGAAAGGGAGAGGAGCAGACCCTCCAAGGTTTCAGTGACAGCCTTTCTTTTTTTAATGCTTAGCCGAAGAGATGTGAGTATTTACTGATTGTAGAGTGAGAGGAGCAGGGAGAGGGGGAGAGAGAAGTATCAATCATTTGCCTCCCGTGCAAGCCCCAAGCAGGGATCAAACCCACAGCCTTGGTATGCGCCCTGACCTGGCATCGCACCTGCAGCCTTTTGGTGTGTGGGACAACACTCCAACCAGCTGAGCCACCTGTCAGGGCATCAACGACAGTGTCTTTAAAGAGCTCTTGCTCCACGCCAGGTGAGGGGGTGCAGGTGAATAGTGCCCTCACCTTGGCAGGAGGCCGGGTGGGCGGTTTGTCCCTTCTCCAGCCTGCAGCCCCTCCCTCTGCTCCCTGGTTTGGAAGGGCTCCATGGTGGCCGTTGTGGGGCCCTTGGGAAGGAGGGGGAGTCCCCGAGGGAGGGCAGAGACAGGAAGCTGAGCGCAGGGTGGCAGGGAGTGGGGGAGGCCGTGCCCCCCAGACATCCCTGTCCTGCCCATCCCCAGACCTGGACCCTTGGGGAGGCCTTAAGGACCCTTCTCTGACCCAGAGATGAAGGCCGGTTGGGGACCCCACTTGAGTGAGTGGGTGTGAGGACCAGATGGCACTCTGAGATCACCCTAAACCCCAAAAGACGGGAGCCCGTCGAGGACAGGAACCTGTGCGCGGTCCGCAGCGCTGCGGCAGTTCCCCTCCGGCCGCACTGTGCTGCCCGCGCCCCGGCCCCTGCGCCCCGGGGACTCTCCCACGGGGGTTGCTCTGGGCCCGCTTGCAGGGCCCATCAGATCAATGGCATCCTCACCTTCCCTGTGCTGAGGGGCCCCAGCAACACAGTCTCCTTTGCTTTCTGTGTCTCCACTGGCCAGTTTCTGCTGTTACCGGTGACACTGCCCACATGTGCGGGGGATTTAAAAATGTGGCGGGGTTGCCAGCGCACCCCCCCACCCCCCGCATGGGCGCGCAGCAGCCAGCAGCCACCCGCCCGCTTTCCCTCCTTGCCCTGACTGCTCTCTGACGGCTGTCTCACCTAATGCACAGGCCCGTGGGCGTCAGGCTGGGGCCTCTGTCCTGTGTCCCTCTGTCCCTGTGTCTATTATGCACACATTTCTGATTTATAATTACGGCTTGTTTCAAAGCTTTAAGAGACTCGTGTGCATTCCCCCTTTTCTTCCCTCCCTCCAGCTCTCCCTTATAGCTGTTCATTTGTTACCCTGTCCGAGCATTTGTGCAGTTATTCAACAGAAGCGCTTTTTATATGCCACCGTATTCCAGGCACCGGGCCTGACAAACATCCTCGGCCAGTACCTCGGTCCCATACTGGTGGGACGGACACACTCAGATAGTCATGGGGACGAAGTGATTGGCACCCAAAGAGGACGGGTCACGTGCTGTGGGGTCCAGAGGAGGGAGGGCTGCTCTGGGCTGGCGATGGGAGTAAAGGTTCACCCACTGGTGGGGCTGGCGGGAAGGGAGAGTCGTCTACGTGGAGGTGCGGGAGGGGGCTGGAGAGGGGAGGGCGCTGCAGGCAGAGGGCAGGTGGAGCCAGGCAGGGAGTCGGGACAGCACAGAGCTGGGGCTGTGCTGGCCCAGTGTGGCCGGCCACCCGGCGGGTAAGTCACGTTCCATCAGAACACCCCCACACCCCTTGGTTGGCACGCTGTCCGCGCACAGTGGAGTGGAGTAGGGTGCCGGGCCCTCCGCAGAGTAGTGCTCGTGCCCGGGCCTGAGGAACAGCGGGGGTGGTGTGGGCCGGGGCACAGGGTGCTGATCTGGGAGGTGGGGGTGGGCAGGGATGAAGCCAGGCGAGCGGGTTGAAGTGGTGAGTGTTGAGAGGCCATCGAAGGCTTCTGAACAGGTAGTATCGTGACTAGAAGGTGAGAACTCCGATTGGGAAGATGTCTGACAGCTGGAGGAGATTGGTTGGCGGGGGAGAGAGATGGGGGGGGTGGGGACCTGTTTGAGACCTTGGCGATAGGTAAGAAAGGAGAGGCTGAACTAGGGGCGTGGAGGGGGGAGGAGTGGTGAGCTGTTGCGGGGAGGTGACCAAAGGTGCTGAGATGGGGATGGGGCCTGGGCACCAGCAGCAGGGACACAGGACGGAGCCGGCCAGCTCCAGCGGCAGTTTTCTCGTAGGTAGGACAGACCCTGGACTTGGTCCCAGTACCTGGGGCCAGACCCGCAAGGCTCTGGGACTGCCAGACCTGGCTTGCGGGGTGCAGACTGAGGTGGGCGAGGACGTGGAAGAAGGTGAAAATTTCCTTCTAATTTTCTTTGGGAGAAATTTCCAGAAGGACAAACCTTGCCTTTGCTGCCATCCTCCTCCCTCCATGTCTGTGTCCCTTCCCCAGTGCGGGTCCCCCAGTGCCACCTGCACAGCCAGCTCTTCCAGGCTTCCCTCCGGCGGCGCCCCTCAGTGTGGGCAGCTCTCCCGCGGTCCCTGTGCCCACTGCCGTGGCAGAGCCCTGCCTCCCGCGCCCAGCAGCCCAGGCCTGGGTCCTGTGGGCCCTGCAGAGTCGCAGACCCTGAGTGTGCCTCCGGGGGCGAGAGGCCCAGGGCAGGGCCCGCCTCTGCTGCCCCGGCCTCGTTCCGCTGGAGTCCAGGCAGTGAGATGGGTGTCGCTGTGGGGCGGCCTGGGTCGGGGCGTGGCCCGGCAGGGGACAGCCTGCAGCCCCAGTGGGAGGCGGGGGGAGGAGGCGGCCTATTTTGCTCCTCCTACGTATTGAACCGGGGTGCGGTGTGAGCAGGGCTGTGTCCGCTCATCTTGGGAACCCCTCCGGGGGGAGAGTTCAGGGGCAGGAGGAAGGCCAGGAATTGGAACCTCCTGTGGTTTTCGAATTAGGTAATGGAGCTTCTTTCTCTCTGTGTCCCACCCCTCCCACGTGCCACTTCAGGGAAGGGCGGCGATGGGCGGACACCAGCACCGTTCTGTGTGCCCGGGACTGGGCGAGGGGTCTCGGGTTTTCCTTGGGAGAGGTGGCGGCAGCCTGCACGGTCCGCCCTGAGTGTCCTGGACGCCAGGTGCTGTCCGCCTGGGGCAGGCTTCTCCCGCCTTTGCTTCCTGAGCTGTCGGGGTGGAGAGGCGGGCGGAGCCCTGGGGCCCACCTCCCCGCCCTCTTCCCTGGCCCTCCCTGCTCTTCTCCTAGGCCCGGCCTGAGGAGGCCAAACTAAGCTCGCTCTGCGCCGTGCCCTGGGGAATCGAGCCCTCCTGCTGGAGCAGAGCTTTGCTGTGCCCTGTCTACTGTCTTGTATGTTGTCACATGGGTCAGTGCAGTGCGTTTGTCTGCCTTATTTTATAGATGAGGAAACTGAGGCTCCAGTAGATGGAGGGACTTGTCTCAGGTCATTGGCCGAAACAGACTGGAGCCCGGGCTCTGGCCTCTCGGGCGCTGCCTGCCTTCTTTGGGTCAAGCTGCGATCCCATGGTGGGGTGGTCAGCCAGGGGCTAGGGCCCTTCTGTCTACCAGAACGGCTGGAGGGGTCTGAGGACGACACCTGTGCACTAGATCTCATAGCGCTGGATGGAAGACCTTTAGGACGCCCCGGGACACCTCCTGTGCCGCCTGCCTTCCGCACCGCATGTGGCCCTCAGCTCCGGAGCCTGCAGGACGGAATATCGCTGGCGCAGGACTTCCTGTGAATGCTGTAAAAAGTGCATCCACGATCGGGTGCTCATGGGGCATGGCGGGGGGGATCTTCATGGAGACCAATCCTCTCCTCCCCCCAAGTCCCTGTGGCCCGGGTCAGAGACCACAGCTGCCCTGGATTCCCTTGGGGCTGGCCCAGGGCGGTGCGTGCGCCTCCTCATTGTAATGTGGGTCCGAGGAGAGGGTGAGGGGTCCTCCTCTGGTCCTTTTTCTCCTTCTGTGTTCCCTCCTCTGTGATCCTCCCCCTCAGTGACCTTCCCATTCCCTTCCATTCCCTGCCCCCTTCTCCCTTTCTCCCCCTCTCCTTCCTCCTCGTTCCCCCTCCCCTCGCCTCCACCCCCTCTTCCCTCCCCTGAGCTCCTGGTCTCTGTGGGCACCACTTTCCCTTTTCTCCCTACTTTTCTCTTCCTCTCGTTTGCTCTCTCTGCCTCTTCCCTCTTTCCCTCCCCTGCTTTTTCCTAACAGCTGACAGCGCTCCCTCCCCTGCTCCCTCCTAGGAGGAGCGCATCAAGTTCCACTCGTTCTGAACTGCGTGACCCAGCCACAGGCTGAGCTGCGCCAGTGTCCACACGAGGTGTCCTTGCCTCAGCCTGGCCGAGCGCTTGGCCCCCGTGGCTTCCCTGTGGGGCCGACCTGGGTGCAGCCCTCCCGAGCCAGCAGCGCCGGGGACCCTGAGCCCCCTGACAGTTGGCCTTGCCTCATAGAAGGTGGTATGGCCAGGCTGCCTAATTGAGTTGTTTTCACAGACCTTATTTATGTTTACACAGTAGACTATTTGTTAAAACAATTTTGTGCATGACTCCAGTGCGTAAAACGAAATGGAGCTGCGTCAGTGAGCTGAGGTGGAGGACCTTCGTCCAGCTGGCTGACCACACAGGCTCCTGGTGTAGTGAGCGCAGCGGGGGGGCCTGTCGGGGGGAGACCCACCTGCCACACCTGGACTGATAGGGCAGGAAAGGAGGCCAGAAAAGCAGGTGCTGGGCTGGGTGACCCAGAGCCGGACAGGCCGCACAATGGCGCAGGCAGGGAGCTGGCAGGGCGGGGGGCTGCTCCGGGGAGCGACTGAGGGAAGGCGAAGGTCCGGGGCAGCCAGACAGACGACGTGGTGGCAGCACAGTCTGAGGTGGGGCACGCGGGTCCTGGCAGCAGCCCCCCTAACAGCCCTGGCTGGGGCGGCCCTTGGTCCTGGGCCATGGAACCCAGACCTTGGGCCCAGAGGGCCTTGGAGTGCACACCCTTTTCCAGGGATACAGGTTGGTGGCTGGGCTGGGCTGGGCCTCGGCACCTGGGGTCACTGGTGACGTGCTCTTGAGCAGGCTCCTCCGGGCCTGGTCCCTAGCTCCACTCCGGCTGCCCTCCTCCTCCTGTGGTCACATCGCCACCGGCAGTGACCCTGTTCTTGGCTAGACCTCCGCGCGCCAGCTGGGGCTTCATTTAGCTGACCAGCTGCCCTGGGTGGTAGATTGCCTGCGATGTCCAAGGGATTGTTGGTACGTCTGGCCAAGAGCAGCGATTTAAGCATAATTTCTTGGGCTTCCCGGTTGCTCCTGGTGGCCAGAGATTCCCCACAGGTGCCTGGAGAACCGAGCCGTTGGAAGCCGGCATAGAAACAGCGCAGCCCCCAGCTGGTTCCCGTGGGTCAGTTATGATGATAACAAAGGCCTGTCCTTCACGCACACCCTCTGGTCCTGCATCAAAGTGCTCACACCAGGGGTACAGAACCCCCAATCGTTCCCCCATGAGCTTTCCTTTCTCCTCACCCTGACCGCAGAACTGCAGGTGCCACATACCTGTTCAGGTAGGAAGGCTAACGGCACTGTGACCAGGTGGCTGCCTAACGTGCGCAGGTGACAGACCACTAATCAATCACAGCTCTCCTTCCCATGAACCCAAATGAAGACTCGTGGTCTTCCTGGAGCAGTTCTGACCTGTGGCACGCATGCAGGCACGCATGCATGCGTTCATTCTTCTATGCATCTGGTAAGATGTTTTTTCAGCTGCCGTTATGGGCCAGACACTGCTCAGTGTGAGGAGAGGAAGACGCGGCTTCTGCCTGGTTGAGAGCAGCTCTGGGAGTGGTGGAGAGGCCTGTGCGTGGCTTACTTCAACAAGCCATAGGCTGGAGAGCAGAGTTAGGACTCTCTCCTTCGGGCCTGCAGCGGAGGCAGGACCGAGTCGCTGAGGAGGTCAGAGAGGGGCCTGCGGGCGGCAGCCAGCGCCCCGGCACGTGTGGCCTGTGCTTCATGGCCCAACAGCGGGTGGCAGGGCCATGGGATCCCGGGCCTCATCGGAGTGACAGGACAGAGCTCGACCGGAGACGCAGCCTATCCTTACTGTGCCTTCTCTTCCACAGGAGCAGGGGCTGAAGACCAATGGCTCCCAAGAGCTAAGCATGTGCTTCACAGAGGTGAGTGGGGGCAGAGTGTGGTGGCCCAGGGGACTGGCCCCAGGAGGCTGTTTCTGGGCGAGCTTCAGACTCCCAGCCCTCAGAGCCCAGTGCGGGCCGGGCCCGCCGAGCTCCCGGTCCGCCTGCACCTCGGGGGGCATGACCCGCTGGGGAGCGGGGCAGAGGCTGTGGCCGGCGTCCTTGGCTGTCTCTCTGGGAGAGACACGAGTGGCAGCTCTGAGCAGCGGCTCTCCCAGGCCTTCCTGACTCTTTAAGGCAGATTGTCTGTGTAACTTAGATGAGGAGAGAGGCCGCATAAAATCCTACAGGAGGAGGGGAGCGCAGTCAGATAGGCCGGGGGCCCTTGATGGCAGGGGAGGGGTTCAACCCCATTCAGGAATAGGAAGAACAGAGCTGCTCGCTCCTCTGCCCTCAAGAAGGTCCTTGTGGGCCTTGGGAGCTGCTTCTCCTTGAGGTATTTATATCCCCCCTCCCCCGCTGGCCTCCATCTGCAGGCTGCCTCCCTCACTAGATAGTGTCACCAGGTGGTTCTGGGGACTGTGACCCTGCCTTCCCCAGCTGGGGGGCTCCGCCCAGCTCGCGGGAAGCCTGGCTCTGCCTGCAAGCAGGCCCCCCGGGTGGGCTGGGAGGACAGGGATGTGGGGAGGCCTTTTCTTTGTGGGTTCCTAGCCCTGCTGACTCATTCGGTTGGTTTGTCTTCCGTGTTCTCTTTGCTTCTGTCTCCTCTGCCGTGGCCTCAGCTCACCACCAACATCATCCCAGGGAGGAACAAGGTGATCAAACCCAACTCAGGCCCCTGCAGAGCCAGGCCATCGGCCGCCTTGACCGCGGCCTCCTTCCTGATGTGGAAGCTGGCCTTGTAGGCTCTGGGCACCGTGTCTGGAGGTTTCCGAAAGCTTTGTGGATGACAGCACCCGCCTGAGGAAATGGAAACACAAGACACACAGACACACACACACACAGACACATGCACACACACACCTTGCAAAAAATTTTTTTCCCACCTTGTCTCTGAACCTGTCTACTCCCAGGTTTCCTCTCTGGAGAAGTTTTTCTAAACCAAACGGACAGCAGGCGGGCAGCCTGAGAGCCGCCCGGAGGCCCCGTGGCAGGGGCACCCCAGTGCCGAGGAGGGCACGAGGGTCTAGACATGCCCTGCGCTTTCTCCTGGCACTTTTCTCTATGGACCCTGTTGCTGGAAGAAACCAAGATGGGACCCCTGCGGCCCAAGGGACTTGCGGCCTTGCCTGATGTGGTCTGGGGCAAGGCAGTGGCCACTGCTTTTCTTAAGCTGCCCCCTTTGGGGACTGGCCAGGGGCTGGCGGGGCATCAGGCGGTGGAGCATTGAGGCTGGTCCCTGGGGTCCAGCTGGGCACCTGTGGCACCTCTACTTGGCTTCAAGGGTGGAGTTTCTTTTGCCTCCCCTCTGTGGGCCGGGCGGGTCTGCTTCTGACTTGTGGAGGCCTGTGACGCAGAGGTCCCTTCCCCCAACCTTAGCATGGGGGGCTGGGCAGCTCGGCCCACCTGGGAGACCCCCTGGGGCCGAGGGAGCAAAACTTGGACACCATCTCAAGGTTGCTGCTTCCTCCTTGGCGGCAGGAAGTTTGAAATTAAAGACGATTCTTTTGGGTGGGTCTCTCGTTGGAGAGAGGGGCTGCTGAGGGGGGCAGAGAAGGCCACGGTGGGACGTCCCCTGCCCCGCACTCTGGTCTCTGCAGCTCGCTCTCCCCCTTCCACCTTGTCTTTCCTTATTTCTGAAATGTACACCGACTGTATGTACACAACATGTTTTCCTTCTCAACATATATGTATATACACATCATATACATATATTGCGTGGTTTCCCTTTCCTTTTTTTAAGAAACCTATCAAAATAATACCCCAACAGATGAGCGAAATGTATTATTGTAAAGTTTATTTTTTTTATAACATTGTCTATGATGAGATCGAAGGAGACGGACTCCCTGTGTCCTGGCCGCCGGGGCGTGGAGGGGCTCCTGGTCGTCCTCACGGTGGCCCAGGCTTCAATAAACGTCCTAGGACGCAGCTCGTTTCCTGCCTCGCTCCGGTGTGCCTTGTCCCCTGCTCAGTTCCTGGCCCCGTGCCGCACCTTGGCTGCTTACCTGGGGCTCCCGGTGGGCCATCCGCTGTGTGTGCTCGGTGAGTGATGAGGCTCCGTCAGGAGGGGATGAGGCCCCTGGCGGGCCTGAGGATGCCAAGTCTGCTGGGCCGCTCACCGGCCAGTCCCACCTCCCCGCCCCAATCAGTGCCCTCTGGGGGTTGGCCCCGACCTGGAAGGGAACAAGAGTGGCTGTGAGGATGGGGGTGGAGACACAACTTGATGTGCTTTGCGTATGTTTTTGTCTTGAGGCTCCCTGGGTGGCTGGTGTCTCGCTGCTGGGACCCCTGGTTTATTTGAGGTGTGTGATTGTGAAGGCAGGACCTGGCCCCTTGGGCCCCGCCAGGGAAGGGAGACAGCTGTGGTCCACCCTTGGTCTCTCCCCGCTCACCACCCGCCGCCTCCAGCTGCGGGCCCGCCAGTCTCTTCTGGAGTCTCCCGGGAGGGGACGAGGAATAGGCTGCTGAGCGTGTGCGGGCGCGCGTGGCAGGAGGGACGTGTAAGGTAGTCCGGTGAGGGGATGGTGCCACTGTCACTATCGGGAGATGGGATGCTGTTTTCTGCTCCCCAACCCTGGGTCCCTCCAGGTGGCTCTTGTTTCTGGTAACATCTGCCATGTGCACGGTGGCCGTCCCTACGATGCACTGTGTTCTGGCCCCTGGTCAGAGGGGTGGTGAGCCAGCCAGCCCAGCCCTCTTCCCATCATCACTGGCCTGGCTGCGTGGAGGCAGCCTTGGGAGCCATTTGGGATCCATGTTTTTTGTCAACAGCAAAGTCTGGTTAACTTAAAGGCTTGGCGGGAAAGGCTCCCAGCATCAGTGGGAGGTAGGGGGCTGGGGAGGCTAGGACAGGGGCCAAAGAACATGTGAAGGGCTAGACGGCAGGATCTATAGGGGCCACACGTTGCCACCTCTGTGATGAATGACCACTAACCGTCACCCAGCGGGCCACATTGGGACCCTGTGCCTGCCTACCTCCCGCCATTTTGGGGTGCAGTGATACATCACTTCTGACATCCCTAATGGGAAGTAAACCCTTGGATTGCATAATGGGGAAGAGAAAATTTCCCAAGAAGAAACGGAGGTGCCATGAGGAAGGGCGGTGTGGATTCTGGGCAGCTTTACTCTGCCTTAAAACATCTCCTAGGCTGATCATGTAGCTAAAATTTTACCATTAAAAATTCATTCCTTTGGTTGAAATGACTCCTGTTCTCTGTGATCCTCTCAAGAAATGTCAATAAAACTGGGAAGAATAAAATGTTATTTTAATGTTAATTAGCTTAAATAGTTTGAGTCTTAGTAACATGAAGATATTTGGGCCTAGACATTGCAATTGGGCTTGGGGGACAGATAAAGGGAGAGAAACGGGGGAAATCAGGAGCTCGGTAGGGGCTACCAGAGAGAGGTCTTGAGTTGTTTTGGGAGTCCTGGGAGTCACCACATGCCTTCACCCCAGAGTCGGCAGCCCGTGAAGGGATTTTTGCCGCCAGCCCCCTGGGGACGACGGGTGATCGGGGACACGCGTGGTGTGCCGGGCTGTGCTGTCCTGCGTTTTCTAGGCTCCAGTGCCTTGTGAAGTCGGAACCGTGGAGGAACGTGTCTCCTCCCGGGAAAGCTTCCAGCCAGGGCTGAGTCTGCTCAGCAGAGAACGTCAGCCTGCCACCTGGCGCTCGCCCCTGCCGCCGTCCTTTCAATGCAGCCGAGCCCCCCGGTGGCTGTGGACCCAAGGAGGCAGGTCCAGGAGCTCAGGGAATGTGGCGTCCAGGGAGCCGTGCCTTGGTCCTGCGCTGCAGGTGGTGGGCTGGCCTGGTTCCAGTAGCAGACACGGGAACATGTTCTCCATTTCCTGTGCCCCCGCCTCTGCCTTCATGACCTGCTGGGCAACGCAGGTTTCTCAAGACAGCCCGGCCCTGCCCTGATTTGATCCTCAGGCCCTAGCGGGTCCTGGTATGTCCACCAGGCCGTCGATACCAGGCAGCTCTGGGCCTGCCCAGGTGGCTGCCTCCTGCCTGTACCCCGGCTCCTGCTCACGGCTCACCTGCTCACTGAGGTGCCTGCCCCAGGGCCCCAGGGCCGCTTGACTGCTGGGCCTTGGGCTCCCAGGGTCTGATGGCCCCACTGCAACAGCTTAACTTCATGCCTACAGGCTGTGGGTATGCATGTGTGTGCACATGGCCCCTGTCCCTAGTTCCCTGCCTTGTCCCACTGACTGCCAAATACCCATATAAGACAAAGGCAAAGCCCCTGTATTGCCGGCTGGCTAGAGAAATTCTTTGCCAGACTTATCTGTGATGTGAATTTAAATTGGGCCTTGCCTCCAAGTGGGCTAGGATACCAAGTGGGTAAACTACCTGGTCACATACCCTCTGATAATACAAGTATATGTGCTCATAGCCTGCTGCGCATTCTTTAAAGTCTCAGTGGGGTAGATAACCTGTTTTTTTAAAAGTGGGTTAATTTTTTTTTTTTTTAAAGGAAATACTAGTCACTTGGAGCCAAAAGTGCAAAATAGGTTTGGTAACATTCTAAGTGGTCAGTTTAATGTGGTAAAGAGGCTGGTTTCCAGTTACCTGTTCAACCTTGGTTATTTCACCCACAAAGTTATGTTAGCCAATAATTAAGGTCCTTCTAAACTCTTAAGCAAACTCCAGACGGGAGGAGAAGGGGGGAAGGGAAGAGAAAGAGATGGCAGAGGGGACACTGGTGTCCCGCCCAGCGCCGCCCCCCGTCTGAATGGTGGGCCCTGGACTGTCTAGCTGACCACTTGGAATTTCTGAGTTCTGATGTGTTTCCCAAAACCCCAGCCGCATCACTTCATTGCACACCTCCTACATTAGAAGGACTAAATAGAAAGGGCATTGAAATCTGCACCACAGTGCTGTTTAGAAGATCAGGGCCACGCAGACTGTCAGCCAGAATGTTGCTTGCCACATTCCGCTTCCAGAGTCAGTTACTTATTTTTTGTGCTGTACTTTCCAGAGCAGAAAAAGGGGAGTGAACATTTTAGAAGGGTTTTCATAGCTTTGCTGAAAAGCAAAACCAGGTGCAGGTAGCTTAAAATAGGTAGATTTAAATGCTTCCATAGCCCTCACCCCGTGTCAGGCACTGTTCCAAATTGCGTGGATTTTTAACTCCTTTCACCCCCCTGGGGGGAAGCCATGTTGGCTCTGCATCCCCATTCTACAGAAGGGCAGACTGAGGCGCAATAATGTTCCCGTCTTGCCCAAGACTGCAGAGGGGAGGCGGTGGTGCTCAGACGCAAGTCCAGGCGAGTGGGCCAGCAGATCTGTGCTTTAAGCACCACGCCAGGCTGCCAGCCCTAACTAAGCCGCCACATGGTGCCCGGCGCTGTGGCTGTCCCCAGCGCGCCCGTTAACCTGGGCTTCATTGCCTCCATCTTTTCTCCCTCCCCAGCCTACGGGGCAAACGGTGAGGGAGTTCTATGAACCGGGCCATTAAGTCAAGGGTGGTGTGGACTCAGGAAGGGAGAGAAGTGCCAGGAAGATGCTGCCCCTACGCCAGGTCTTTCTGGTGGGGCTGGGGGGACGGGGCTGAACATTGCACCTGGATGTTCGCCATCCCTCTTCTCCTGGGGCAGAGAGTGACCACGCCGGGGATGGCTGGGCCTGGAAGACGGCGTGTTCAGGAGCGAGCCAGCCAGCTGGCAACGTGCTCGCTTGACTTGGGATTGCTCTTGCCCTGGGGACGATGGGTACGCTGGATGGCCAGGCAGACCAGGGTTTGAATTCCAAACCTTTCATTGACCCACTGGGTGACCACGTCCAACCTGAGCTTTGGGTTTCTCATCCAAGTGAGGATGGTGGTCGCTGCCTTGCAGGACCACTGTTGAGATTAAACGGGTTACCCGTGGTGTCCAGCCTGCCACGTCCCTCCCTCCGCCCCCTGGGCATGCTGCCCTGGGCCTCTGGGATTCTTGGCACCTGCCTGCTGCCTGGGGGTCCTACTCCTGGTAGAGGGAGGAGCTGTGCAGGGTTCTGTCCTCGGAGTGTCTCTCTTCCTCCTCCTCCTGTGCCCCTAGAAGCTTGCATGGCTTCCCTGTGGCAGACACAAGAACATGACTGTCACCAGGCCCTGGACGCTGCTCTTGGAAGCGTTGCCAAATTGAGCTAAGAGGGCAGGACAGGTGAGGAGAAAGAAAAAGGGGACCTCCTTGTATTGGTAAATCGCAGTTGATTTGATCTGCCAGTTGCTGGGGACAGCGGCTGCAGAGCATCCAGGTGTCTTGTTCTCTGGAGTCCCTTTGATTGTCCACTTTCTCTCCACTCATGAAAACAGTGAATGCAGCAGCTCAAGACCCAGAACAGGAAGCATCGATCGGCTCTGGGAGCTACAGCCGTGTTAGTGCTGTTGGGAGGCAGGCTGGTGTGGGTCCTGGGGTGGGGGCGGCGGCGGCGGGTCAAGGCCAGACAAGGGTGGCTTAGCACCCATAGGGTCTCCGGAATTTTCGCCAAGGAGAGAGTCTCAGGCCCTTGAAACTAGCTTTTAGGAATGAGTACAGAATCACCTCAATGTTTTCTGAGTAGGACCATCATCTCTGTGATTTCCCTACAGAAAAAGGCTGACATTAAGCTGAGCATCTAAGGACATGTCCAAGTCCACTTTCTTTGTGCAGGAAGTCTGGGGTATACTGGAAAGTCTGCCAGGGCACCCGGGTTCAAACTCTGGCATGGCCGTCCATCAGCTGGTGACACCAGCTAAGTCACTGACTTCCCTGAGCCTCAGAAAGGTGTTGCTTTAGAT